GTAAGTAAAAAAGAGATGATTTTGAATATGTGTGTGTATATGAATATAAATCTTTTCAATAAACGTTTGAGGACAAAATGGGCATTTAAAAAAGAGGACAAAATGACTAAATGGCTCTATTGCCCTTATAATTTAGGATAATTACAAATCTATATGAAGGAAAAGAATTAAATGTTTGCTAATTACATTAACCATAATTTGGATTGTAAAAAGTTAATTAATTTGCTATCTAAAAATAGAGTCAATATTAGCTGCATCTTTTTAAATTTTTTATATAATTGACAAATAAAAAAATTTAGATGTGATGCAGTTGATAAATTAAAGGATCTAGACATGAGAAAAAATTAAGCCGTTTATAAAATAAATTAACCATAATTTGAAGTGTAAAAAGAAAATCTAATTTGGCATAAAAAGAGGAATCCAATACTAGGCATCATTTTTTCAATTTATGTATTTGATAAATAAAAGGAATCAAATATAAAGAGTTTTCAATTGGGCTATTTTTTTTAAAAAATTGTGGTAATAGCAAGAATCTTAAGGTATGAAAAAAAAACTGTTTTGTTAAATTTTGAAAGTTGTTATTTTTGTCATGACTGACGAAAATTTTTTATTGACCATATGTAGTAATGGCCCCATATATAAATTAACAAATCAGATCAAATATTTAATCTAATTAGTATACTAGTTGAGGGGCATTTTTGGTATAAAAAATCTTCTCACATCTAAAATTATTTTTTATTATTGCTTTTTTTTTTTGAATTGGGCTAAATCTCTTGATTTTGGGGAGGTTAGTAATATTTTTAAAACCTTAGTGACAGGCAGTGAAATTGTTAGAAACCTCAGGGGAGATTTCTGAAATTATACCCCTCAAGAAAATTTAATTTGTTAGTCATTCTCGGCTTTGCTCTCCACTGGGCGGAACACTTTAAGAAGCAGCATTGGTCCAAATCCATATGTCCCTTGAAGACTCGCAAACGACAAAAACGTGTCTTTTCTCTCACTTTCCTTTCTTTCTTCTTTCGTCAAATCACGGCTCCCAAAATAGTGAGGACCATTTCTTTAAATTGAAGTTCAACAAGTTTATTCCAGAACAAGCATATGCTAAAGCAGATCAAACTGATAGTAGGAGTTATCCCACATACGAACTAGTTAATGATTAAAATTAATGGGCATGATTTACACGGTTGAGTCTCAGCAGCTGACTTCAGAAGCGACTTGATTGCATTAATATCCTGCGGGCCGTGCTGAGGCATCTTTCCTTGGGCAGGGGTGGTTAACAATCATATCGTTCAGACCAGTGAACCGTGAATATACTCGAGGATTGACCGTGATGATCAGGCTCAGGGGGCCTACGTCGTAGCTGTAGGTGGTTCCGTATAAGATTGGCTTAGGGTGGTTCTTGAACGCTACTATGAGTACGAGGAGAAAGGTCATCGGTTACGATTATGATATTCGATCTTCCACACTAGTAGTAGTTGAAACGCGAGAGTAACTTCGGTACGGACTTTGGTACTTTATTATTGCTATTCAAGCCCTTATTTGCTGGTTTCCTCAATTGAATTGTACATTAATTCCAAGACCAACCTCTCCAGCAACAGGACAACCACAGAGTTGACAAGGACAATAGTGAAAAACACAGATTTGGTGAGGATTGAGGAAGGATATCCTGAACAAGAAGACTCTGTGGACGACCAAAAAAAAGCACCAATAAAGAGTTGAACGGAAAGGGCAACGCAGATCACAGGTCCGGCACCTCTATCCATGTAGAGCTTTTGGCATATTTATGCTTGCCCACTGACTGGGTGTCCTCTTTGGTATTCTCTCCTAATAGGCCAGGAAAAAGGCAACACCTTGCGTGTAGGCTCTCTCAGGTAGTCTGGGATCCTTGCGTGTGACTCGTTGCCTGCAATCAGGTTTGTTTGGTTGATATCTCAATTTAATTGACTTTGGTTTGAGATGGAGTGCAATATCTTGGTAGCTTAATTTTCTATTTTTCCATTTCTGAGTGTAATATTTTGTGCAGAGATAAACGTCGCAGCAGAAAACTAGGATGTCTAAGAAGAGTCAGATGAAATGGAAGAACTTGAGACCAGTTGCTGGGGTTGCGATAGTTTATCTTGTAGCTGCGGTGGTAGTTTCAGCAGAACACATACCGGAGCAGGTTATTTCAGAAAATAATGGGACAGCCAAAGTGTATGCATCAAATTATTTGTGGCAAAATGGTGTAATGAATTATCGTCATGTTTGGCCTGTAAGCTCATTTTCAGTCAAATTTGTTCTCCGGTGATTTGGAAATTATTGTTTGTCTTCTAATTGTTGATAGTCGTAGATACCATTTAAAGCAAATCAGCTTATTATATTTGAGTACTTGTTTATACGATTAGCAATCTGTGGATGCTTGAGGTATTGAATTTAGTTTGTTAAATTTTAATTTAGGAGATGAAGTTTAGCTGGCAAATTGTGGTTGGCACAGTAAATTGGTTTTTTTGCGGCTGCTTTAGGAAGTGTTGGAGGCGTTGGTGGAGGCGGGCATTTTTGTGCCCATGCTTGCTTTGATTATTGGATTCGATCCAAAATCATCTACAGCCATATCAAAGTGTAAGTCTGGATAACCTCCACGAACTGCAGATGTCCAACCATACTTGCCTCAACAGTCTTATTTCTGAAATGATGCTCTGCTAAGTAATTTATCTTGCCTGCATTCAGACAATGCCACCTCTTTGGCATCTGCATATTTAACTTATGTATTTGCTGCCTCACTGTCCTTTGGTCAAGCCTTTTGTTGCGTTCTTTAGGTATGATCACAGGTGCAGCAGGTGCAACGTTTACTATAATCTCAGGCTCAGGCATCCTACACTTGACCTGCCTATCATTGATTACGATCTAGCTCTTCTTTTCCAACCAATGCTAGTGCTTGGGATCAGTATTGGAGTTGCTTTCAATGTGATTTTTGCTGATTGGATGGTTACAATTCTTTTGATCATTCTCTTCATAGGTAAATAACCTTTTATGTGGCACCATGTCTTTGTTTTCCTAGAGTTAAAGATGGTCATCGGTCTTTCTGTTCTGTAGGCACATCAACTAAGGCATTCTTTGAAGGGTGTGGAAACATGGAAGAAAGAAACAATAATGAAGCAGGTTGTGTCTTCTCAGCTAATTACTACAAGTATAACATGAATGGCTTAATGACTGACTGATTGTTCCTTGCTTTTGGTTTCCAGGAGGCTGCTAAATTCTTGGCATCCGGTGGTGAGTTGATTTCTTCTTTTAATTAAATCTAATAAAGTTCTTCAAGTGATCCTGATTAGCTGCTTTGGACGATGCCACAACCTGAAATCAGGTACTAGTGATGAACCAGTATCCTACAAACTTTTACCTGGTGGACCAAGTGGCAGCATTTCAATAAAGCAAAACGTGATTGAAAAATCAGAGGTGATGAATGTTTAAGCCAGATATAACTGTGGGAAAATCTTGGCTTCTGTGTTCATCTTTGAACTGTATTGTCCCAGGTCTCAATTCTTGACAATGTCCGTTGGAAGGAGTTCTGTATACTCATCGGTGTCTGGGGAAGTGTACTTTTTCTTCAGATTACCAAGGAGGTCAGTTAAGTTCATGCTTACTATCGACAAGCTTGTCAGTTCAGCATTCTTTTTCTGAATTTGTGCGTTCATGAACTGAATCTGTGTTTTCAATTTTTTACAGGAGTACACCAAAACCTGTTCCACGCATATTGGATACTGAACTTGTTGCAGGTACTGTTGGTGACCACAATTCAATTGAGATAATCTTCATTGTGGCAACTGCCCAGTGCAGTATTCGAGGGGTGGGTTGATTGATCAAGGATCTATTGCAAAATTGCAGGTCCTAAGATCAGAATCCCTCTTCCTGACCCCTGTCGGGGTATGGTTGCCTTTACTAGTTTCAAAAAAAAAAAGAAAAGAAAAGGAATAATGCGCAGTTTTTAAATTAATGGACAACAAATATCTTTTGATTTTAGATTCCAATCGCCATTGGAGCATCCGCATATGAGGCCATTGGCTTGTATAAAGGAAAAAAGGTGATTGCATCCAGGGGTCAAGCAGGAGCGGATTGGAGCATATACCAACTGGTTTTGTTGTTTATGTGGAATTTTGGCTGGTATAGTTGGTGGCCTGCTGGGACTTGGTGGAGGGTTTATTTTGGGTCCCTTATTTCTGGAGCTTGGAGTTCCTCCTCAAGTGTCAAGTGCTACTGCCACTTTTGCCATGACATTCTCCTCATCCATGTCGGTTATTCAATATTACCTTTAAGACGTTTCCGGTGCCATATGGTTAGTGGTCCGACGTATCCTTCTAAGCTCTAAATGGATGTTTTATGTCTTGCAGTGTAAATATTTTAGCAAGTGATCCATATTTCTGTGTTGCAGCGGTATATTTTGTGAGTGTGGCTACAGTAGCTGCCCTCGTAGGGCAACATGTGGTACGAAAGATGATTAGCGTACTAGGGAGAGCTTCTCTGATCATTTTCATTTTGGCTTTCACAATTTTCGTGAGCGCAATATCATTGGGCAAGTATCATACCTTTGTTATTTTCATGCTTCGTAGTTATACGGGTTTCTTACATCAAGTAGCGGAACTTAATGAATGAGCATTTTCTTTCTGCAGGTGGGGTTGGCATACCAAACATGATCGACAGGATTGCAGGAAAAGAGTACATGGCTTTTGACGATATTTGTGCATATGATTTCTAGTGCTGAACCACATGAGAGCCGCGGCTCGGGTGTTGTTATTCTCCCCAATAGTGTTGGCTGTGTCTTGTCCTCTTTGATAGCTTTAACTTATTATGTCCATAGTACAATGTAGCTTTCTCCCCCTACTGGAATTTGTAGTTTTGTAACTCATTTTCTAAGATTGCTGTTTCACTTTCATACTTCAAGAATTTTTTAGTTTTCATATTGGCAACTTTCAAGGACTGACATTAGCCCTTGTTCAGAACTAAATTGTACAACATTAATGTCTACATTTTCACAAGTAACCGCTCTTTACGAATTGGAGGAAATTGACAAAACAAGACTGAGAAATATATTGTCCTGTATATTATATCAATGAAACTCATCAGCTTGAGCAACCAAAGAGCATTTGGAAAAAGAACTCTCCAGTCCAGTATAATTGCTATGCATGATTTGCCGGCCATATTCTTTCTCAAAATCGAGTATGACCATGCTCTACAGCTCATCCTTTGAAATGTCATCCTGGTTCTTTAGGTGTTTGTTGATCAGGGACGCTAACTCCTTGGAGCCAGATTTTGTAGAAAATCTAATCTGCATTGAGAAAGCCAATTTCAGTGAAAGAAGGTTAAAAGAGCAGTTATATGAGTGGTAGTAATGAAACATGTCCATGATGTAAATACCGGGTTTTGCTTGTCCTTGGAGGTGTAGAACAACAACGTTGGATATTCTTCTACCTGCAAGAATCGCACTTTTAAGGACTGTATCGGCAAGGCTTGTTTTAGATACGGCTTGTAATCACCAGGATTCATATCAATACCTCTCTTTACGGTTCTAACTACTGTATCTCTCTCTCTCTCTCTCTCTCTCTCAGTTATAAACAGTTCCAGGAGAACATCACATGGAGTTCCTATCAATGAAAATGCAGATTGACTTATGCAACACTGCTTGTAAGAGATGCACGTAGGAAAGGCTTTTCTATTCTACAAACATACTTTGATCACCTAAGTGGTGTTTGATTTAGTATGTGCAAGTTTGTTCTAGTATTTCTGGAGAATTAAAATGGAATCATTAAAGACTCCTGCATAAGTTACTAATCATTTTTAAACTTGCAAAAACATATTTGTACCTGTAGCTTTGGATGTTCGTTCTCTGAAGCATCAATCCTTGCAAAAACTAGGTCTTCCAATCCCCTGAAATGTTTGGCCAACTTCTCCATTTGCTTGGTGGTTGCTTCAGCAGGTTATGCACCATGGTGTATGTACCTAAAAATGGCCATGGCTACAGAAAGTGAAACTTCTCTGCTATGAGATTTAAACTTCAAAGATTCTATCCAACATTCTAGAAATCGAAAATGACTGCAAAACTAACAAGATTGCTCCGGATAAAATTATAGCATTAAATACACAAAGCTAGAGTGGGGCTAACCAAGTAAAATAAGAACTTCTAACCTCTAAAAGAATATTCTTGGGGCTTCGAAGAACCAAATCATCAAATGTCTTGCCAACAACAGTCAATATACTGGCATCCTTCTGAAATTTTCACAATTTGAGATATGTTTTTCCCGTTAGATAAAGGATTTTATAGGAAATGGAGGAAATGAACATGAGAAGCAGTTAAAGAAACAAAATAAAATTGTGAGACTCAATAAACATAAAGCATACACTTAAAAGAATTCAAGAATGATGAAACTCAATGAACTTGATTCTTACAGCCCTCAAACTGAGGCCATGCTCCTCAATTCGCTTAACCAGACATTAGAAAATTCACAGAGCTGGTTGGGATGCATAATTTGAATCAGGGTAAATGCAGAATACATAAATCAAAGTTACAAAACCATAACCTTCTAGGATTTTAGAACAAGGCAGTAAGCAAAATCTAACTATTCGATGTGATATATTACCACAAAACTCACATTATCAGGGATTGGCTGCGACTTGAAGAATGGTGACAATGTTCCATGAAAAAGCCCCAAGCAAAATTCCTAAAATGCCAATAGAGTTGAATAACTTCTCTCATGAAATTAATATATTTCAGAAGGCAATGAAATAGAGCAAAACTTTTACTTCTATTTTTGTTGGTGTAGGATCTGACTCCAACAGATACTTGAAGCTGTTGTTGTAATCAAAAGCTGTCACCTGCAAATTTGAGCAAAAGATTATGTTTGCCTCAGCAAAAGCAGCTGAGAGTACAGAATTGCCAACTTGAGTGAACACCAAAAGACTGATAATAGGAAACTAACAACTATATCTTCTGAATCCTCTAGACCAAATAAAGTGAGGAAGGGCTTTGCAAGGTTGTCTTCTTTGATATCTACGAATATCAACATTATCTGCACACGACATGATGCTCAAGTAGATTAGATGATAATAATGGAAAGGGATCCCCAGTGGTTCCTTTGATCAGTTATCAACCTTTAATTTGAACTTCCTAGCAACTTCTTGCAAAGGTTCAGTGAGTTTCTTCAAATCATCAGCTTCAGCAAAAATATACACCTGGGAGAAATAGAGGCAGGTTAACAAATAGTGATTGGCAGCAATATCAAAATATCCAAACGAAGCAATTCAGGCAGAGAAGAGAACAATATGAACATACAAAGACGCAGACATCTATTTTTCTTTCTTTATCTTCCTATTTTTTTAGACCAAGAATTTGAGCCCAAGATGATATTAAAACAAGATCAAATATGCTGAGTGTAAGAGAAAGGAAAATAAAAGAACTAATAAGGGAATCATTTATAAGCAACAGCAACCTGGAGCTTCTTTGTGCTGGAGTATACTTGGGCAGAATTAAATTCAGTCAGTACAGTAATTAGGGGGAACTTGTTATTGTCCAAAAATTGCAAGATCCCATCTACATTAAAGGTGTCCTCTGCAAGCAACAAGACATTCTTGTCAAATATAAATCTGATAGGATATTCTGGCATAATGTAGACAAATTCCTAAAGCACAGAAGAGAACCATAGCATCATCTGCACGTCAATGTAGACTAATCAAAAAATAGAAACATCGTAACGCCACTTAACATTGCTTTAAGCTTATAAAGAAAGAGTCAAACTGCAATAAATACATAATCAAACCTTAATTTAAAAAAGAGATATCTATCCCTAAAAACCAAGAATGGTGGATGGGAGGCCTAGACAATGTTTAGTGACACAAAAAGGTACTAGTTAATAAGAACCTTATGCAAATACAAGGTTTAGTGCATTTGAATCATGAGCTTACCATATGTAGTGTATCTCTCCGGTTCATTTTTAGTTAGGCCAAGGAAAGGATAAGTATGCCTAGCATCAGGAAACAGAACTTTGGCAATTTCTGGGCTGCTTGTTTCAATAAACTGAATTTCATTGTCAGATGTTGCTGCCTTGACGAACTCTTCATAATCAGGCCCCTGATCATGAAGGGTAGTTAGTTACGCAAAGATAGAGGATATATGCATCTGACCCAAGTATTGGACTTTAGATAACAACTTTCGCTTCACTGCTAATTCAATTTGGTCAACACATGCATGATACTGTAGAAATCTTGTCTTTTCTATATTTCATATACAAATAATAGAATAAAAACCAAGAAACAAATGTAAAGAAGACATAGAAATGGGAAAGTTTTAACATGAATACATTAGAAATTGCATAGAGGAATGTGCTTCTGTTTCTCCAATGAGGACAATAAAAGTCTTTATATTCAGTAACATGTACCAACATATACCTCTTGCATGTCAAATGGCAAAAACAATTCAAGCAATTCCGTATATGAGAAGGTACCATGCTGCCAAAAAGACATTAGCTGACGAAGTATCACTTGTCCACTCAATCTCCAAATAAGGACCAGTGGCTTCACCAAATTAGGGCTAAGAGAATCTAGAAACACATTGGATGATTATATTTAAGCATGGACACCCATTCTTTGTTTACTTTTGTGCAGCCAGCTTTCAAGTATCACATTCCTAACAAATTACTCACTCACAATAAAAAATTTGGTCCATCATTTGGCATTTCCACATTTATTCAAGGTAGACATACCATCGGAAGTCAAATTATTATGGGATCCTCCTGATGAAATTTGGCCTTTACTATTTTCAGATTATACGGGACTGACGTGTTATTTCTTTGCAGTTTCTGGTTTTATAAAAGAAGCCATTTTTCACTAAAGTGTTTGCAATCTTGCGGATCAATGCGAGAATGGAGAAAGTTAGAGCATGCAGTCACCCAAACCCAATATTGCAACTTCACATCCACAACTTTAGATAAACCCGATTAAAATACAACCATTCACTCGTCTAACCTTTAGGACTCCAAATCAGCCAGCCAGCCAACCATGAAGACGGAGTATAACTCTTGCATATACGATGCAAAACAAGATTAGTAGTATTAATTAAGAGAGAATTAAGCTAAAATTAGGAAAGAAATACAAAATTCTTCCATCGCTCAATGCTCTGACCTGTTTTGCTGCTTCATTCTTGAACATGCACCCCACGTTGCCTCAACAATTCATCAAAACAGAAAGTAAACTAGCACGAAGTCCATTAATTAATCACCTTTGAAATAGTTAAAAAAGTATTTGTATTTTTATTATTTCTCCTCGCCAAACAGCTGCATAAAATAAGAGTTCGTTCCATTCATGATTATTAACAAGTAGTTGCGGTTCTCTTCTTGTTCTTCCGCACGTTATTTCTTTAGCAACAAGAGCTAAGACAGCCATTTTTCTCCACCCCCCCATGATGAATCCGTGATCCCAGATAACTTCTTTCTCCTGTTCTTCCCCCGGCCCCCTTCCTTCAATTTATTCCATTGCACGAAGAGCAGTGCTCGTTGAATGTTGCAAGGATGGTTCGAGCGCTAGAGGAAGAACAAGAAACCTTGAGGTCTCGCCTCAGTCATTTTAATGGAATGCAAGAGGATGCAGGACGACCAACGCGCGGTTTGACCCGCGAGAGCTGTAATATCAAAGATAATGAGGATTCATTCTCTTCCTCGAACGATCGCGAAAAGCAAAGAACTGGGAATTCCCTCGGCCGCAATGATGGAGGTGCTTCAAGCCCCAAGTCAAAGAAACCCTCTGGCAAGTGCTTCCTTTTCCTGAGCCCGTTATTCTGCATGTGGTCCATGGAGGTTCTAGAAGAGTCACATTTAAGGGATTTTTGTATCGGACGTATCTTAACGTTTCTATATAAAACGCTCCCAAAAATACAGAGAAGGATTTGTTTTTCTAAACCTGAGGGAGCTTTAAATTCTGGTTTTTTGTTGAATTCCGCTGGCAGATACGATATTTTTTTTTCCTTTCCTTTTTTTTTTTTATTCCTGCTTTTTGTGCGTGTTTTGTTTTTGCTGTAATTAAGCGGTTTAAACATGTTGCATCACATGACATATGCAATAAACTCTCCAACAAAATCTAGAATGTCATGGAGGAAAGAAAGGATGTGAAATTAATTAGAATTGGAATAGCAAACTTTCATTCTTTTGAAGAAGAAGTCAATGTTTGGTTCAGTTCTTCATTTAAAAAGCTGTCGAGCCTTATATCATAGTCCTGTATGTTCATGAAATATTACTTGTTGGCTTCCAGATATGGAACTGATGAAGGAGAAGTTCGCGAAGTTGCTCTTGGGTGAGGATATGTCGGGTGGAGGAAAGGGAGTTTCATCAGCTCTAGCATTGTCAAATGCAATCACAAACCTAGCAGGTAGAGTACATCCTCATTTTCTAATACATTGACAATGCTCTACCCTGCACCTGTGACTATTTCTGTATGAAATTCTTTTTGGACCATAGTTAATTGCAAATCAAGATTTCTATGAATCTCATGAGATCCTCAACAAAATTGATCCTTTTTAAACCACATGCAGCTTCTGTCTTCGGAGAGCAAAAGCGATTAGAGCCCATGTCACCAGAGATGAGAGCAAGGTGGAGAAAGGAAATTGATTGGCTCTTGTCTGTCACAGATCACATTGTTGAGTTTGTTCCTTCCAAACAAGTGTCTAAAGATGGAACTAACATGGAGGTATGCCTTCTATGTGTGTGTGTGTGTGTGTGTGTGGGGCATCCATGCATTCATGCTCAATTAAAGAAATGTAGCACCTACATATCCTGGAAGGATAATACATCAACTTACTCTTTTATTTTATCAGGTTATGGTTACAAGGCAGCGAAATGACCTTCATATGAATATTCCTGCCTTGCGAAAGCTCGACGCAATGCTTATTGTAAGATCATAGCTGTGAAATTTTCTTATTTTGCCTATCATCATAACCTTAAATATTGTGACCAACTTTGTTCAATTCTTGTTGTTGTGTGAAACAATTTTACAGGATTGCCTAGACAACTTTAAAGATCAAAACGAATTCTACTATGTGTCTAAAGACTCTGACGAATCACAGAAGGGGAAAAGTAATGCTAGGAAGGATGACAAATGGTGGATACCTACTCCTAAAGTTCCGCCTAATGGCCTCTCTGATGTTGCAAAGAAATGGTTGCAGTTTCAGAAGGAGTCAGTCAACCAAGTCCTTAAAGCAGCCATGGCCATAAATGCCCAAGTCCTTTTAGAGATGGAGATCCCTGAGAATTACATAGAGAATCTCCCTAAGGTAGAAGGGAAAGATATCCACGATTCTGATTACCATCTTGTTAGATGATACTGGTTTACAAGCTTTACTGATATTTATCACTTGTATAATTCGTTTTAGAATGGGAGAGCGAGCCTTGGAGATTCAATCTACAAGAGTATAACTGATGAGCACTTTGATCCTGATTATTTTCTCTCCATGGTGGACTTATCATCAGAACACAAAATTCTTGACCTCAAGAACAGAATTGAGGCATCTGTTGTGATCTGGAGAAGGAAGATGACTGCAAAAGATGGAAAGTCATCCTGGAGTTCAGGTGTAAGTATGGAAAAGAGAGAACTCTTCGAAGATAGAGCTGAGACAATCTTACTCATTCTTAAGCATCGGTTCCCAGGAATTCCTCAGTCTTCACTTGACATTAGCAAAATCCAATATAACAGAGTAAGAATGCTACTAACTTTATTCTGATCTCGTTTTCATTTTCATCCATTCTTTAATTCTATAACTGACCAAAAGCAGAGGGTATTCTGAATGCAATGAGTAGCAAACATATTCTACTTTTCAGTGGTCTTGACCAAGTTTGATCTCTCAGGATGTGGGGCAAGCCATTCTGGAAAGCTATTCAAGAATAATAGAGAGCCTGGCATTTACTGTCATGTCACGAATAGAAGATGTTCTTCATGCTGATTCTCTTGCAAAAAATCCATCTGCTGGAGAACCAAAAAAAACCCTAAAGAAGGAAACAATAACTTTGGAGAGCATCCCCAGTGCTAAAGAAGAAGCAGACAAACTAAATTCAGCAGAGACACCAACATCAAAGACACTTCTAGATTTCATGGGTTGGTCACTGGATCAAGGAGAGACCGAAGTAAAGAAAGACGTGAAGGAAGAGGTGTCCAAAGACAACGATTTGAAGATTTTGAGCAAACCACCAAATATTGCCACCAACAAGAAAATTTCTTACATAGAGAGACTAGAGCACTTGGGTGGTTCTAGAAGTCCAACAGCGCGTCACTAACCAAATTTTGTCCCAGATACCAAATTAACTTACATTATTAGAGGCAAGGACTGACCAGCAGAACTCTTCTCGAATGTGAACAGCATTGGACGTTTATATTCAGACGAATTAAAGCCATATAGGATTTGATACATTTTTCCTTTGTAAATATGGAAAAGCCACTAGAGCTACTGGCTTCAAAACACATTGGCTATGCTCACTCTGTAGATGAGATCAGTTTGTTAAAATATTTTGGTCTTGTAATTTCTAACATTTCAGTCATACTTTCCGGCTTCATGACTCCAATCCAGAATAACAGGACTGCAATGAGTATCTGCAATTTGCATTTTCCAAGGAACAACCCTCACCCTGTCAGTTTAAATCTACAAATCATACTACAATACAATGCTGTACTGGGCTGCACATTTGAGGAGAAATAAGCAAGCATCAATTTCCATCTTAGAGGAAGTCAGCGTACTTTCAGGTTAAAGAGATTGGAACTTTTCTGCATGAGAAGCCATTATAGAGTTGAGATTCAAACGAGTCTCATAAAAATTTCCAATTGAAGCAAGACAGACGAGTAAAATCTCATCCAGGAGATTGAAGATGAGCAACAAAGCAATGGTGCCCCCAAGTAGTAAACAATCATTGTGATAATAAGCAGGCACACGATTACGCTCCAGAGATACTTACAAGCTTTAGAAGGTACACATGAAGAAAATAAAAATGCTTTTAAAGCTTTAACTGAGAAATAATTAGATTTTGCCACGGGGCCCGGGTTTAGGGGGAAGTTGAGGACCCCTTTTGATGGGCAGATAATCTGGTGATGCGGTAGCACTCACATAAGCAAGCAAGGAGCCACCTCCTAGTATCAAGAATTTGAGCAGTAAACCTCTCTTGGTGAAAGGAGCTGCAAATGTCTCAAAGAACTTGCTCTGCAACCACATATAGATTCATGTGAGAAAACCTTCACGGAATCTAACAGCTGCTGCTGTAAATGACCAAAACTCAGGCAAATGCAAGGATGTCGTAAATTACTCCACAATCATGAGGAATGCTGCCCTCACTGCCTTCAGAATATCAAGCAGAGGTTCTCTTTTCTTGCTATCAGGCAGCCATGAATATAGGGTTCTTATGGATACTGGAAGGCACATATTTTTTCTACTGAATTTAATCTGAAAGCAGGATGGAAAACTCTCTCTCTCTTTTTTTTTTTTGCAATTTTTTTAAACTAGAAAGCATAATCCTTACTCTGTCTCCTCATGATCCTCTAAACCCCCCCCCCCCCCTCCCCAAAAAAAAAAAGGAAAAATTCATGTTATGTTTTTCAACTTCACCCTCAATCTATGCCCTTGCAGAAATTCATCAAGAAAAACCTACTACAAGCAGTTGGCCTATCTCTATCTACAATCCAGCTAACTCCAGCACAAAGCATGCAACTTTTCTTAAGCCCCAAATGAAAACTGCACATGGACCATTAACAACCAAAAAATGAAAGAAACATTCATGCTTGGTTTCAATTTCCACAATTTTCCCAAATAGTGAAAGACTCTTAACACTAGAAATTGCAAGTGCGCATGACAGAATGAGCCACGTGAGTACAGAGTGACGCAGGCGTAAATAACTAGCTAATTACTACACTGTTCTATCGCCATATCAGAATTTCCAGCATATTAATTAATGCGTTGCTCCACCACTCATCAAGGGCACACAACTCTAATGAATTGATGATTCTGATTCATGAAAATATACCTGGAGGGAGTTGTACGGTGAAGGAGCATCTGACCCATACAAGTCCCATTGGCCAGTCGTGTTGCCCAAATCCTCCAAGTCAAAGTAGACACTCTTCTCACCGTACTTTGCTACCACCGGACCAGCCCTACAACAAACCAAATGCAGAGTAGCTACAAAAGCTTAGCCCATAATTTGGGCAATACTAGAAAAATTAGCCCAATTAAACGTCTTTATTCTCAAACAACCACTAAAACAGAGTGAGCCAATACTAGTTCTCAAAAGTCAGGCTGACGGGATCACACCAAGACTAGATTCTTGAATGTTCTTTACCTGGTTCGGGAGGGTTTCAAACCAAGAGAAGAAGGCTTGACATGAAGCTTAGTTCCAGCAATGGAGCTTCCAGCGAGACCCTTAACAGCAGTTGGCTGCACGGCAGCAAAGGTAGCTAGAGATGCCATGGCCTATCAGTCTAACGAACAAAACTAATTTTTTGATTCCAAAACTGGCAATTGGTTAAATGCGGATGCTTTGAGCTTTTGAATTTTTTGCAATGGATTTCAGGATGACAAATGGCAAGCTGGGCTCCCTTGGAGAGATATGGGATCCCATTTGAGTGGTGAGACGTGGATGATAGCTGGATAAGCCTATCCAATGTCGTTCAACGGAGGATTACGACTATACTACAGTAAGGACTTCATCCTACAAATCACAGGGTAAATGCCTTGCAAACTGGAAGCGTAAGTCACAATTGAATAAAATTGAAATTTCAAATCTGTAAGTGCCGAAAGTATTTTAAGTTGTTAAATTGATCAAATTACATGCATTTGACAACTAATTTAATTATAGAACTGAATTAAAATATCACACAAAATATTGTATTTTTATCTTTAAACAAAATTCTTTTTATTTGTGTATTTGGACAAAAAGAAAAAATTGTTTTGTGTGAGAGAGAAAAATAACGAAACAGTTGAGAGGTTGGGTTTAAGTGCGCGCGCGCGTGTGACTGTGTATTATATATGTGAGAGCTCTAGTATGTGTGGTTAATTTAGGAAATTCATTTAAAAATTTACTTAAAATTTTATACACAAGTTAAGCAGTGCTTAATATATTAAATGATAAAACAATTCTATTATCAAACATGTTGAATTCAAAAAATATTTTAATCAATTAATTTTTAACATCACGTAGAGTTATCAAACAATGGTTATCAATTAATTTTTTTCTATTTTTTTTCCTTCTTTTGTTATTAGACCCAAATTTATTTCAAATCTAATTGTTAGGTCTAAAATTTTTCCAGGTCATGGGTCTCTCTCGATTGTTCTCATCATCATTATTAAAACTTAAAGCCACTAATTAGCAAATCTAGCGATTGCAATATGCATAGAGAACTACAATGATTTATCTTGTTAGAAGATAATTTGAAAATTTCTTATATTTTTCAGATCTATTCAAAATTTTTCAGATATATTATATTTATTAAATTGCAGATCTAATCCGTTATTTCTAGTGCATGTTTAATCTGTCATTACGGCAATGATATAAATCAAATCGAGTTGAACGATTTTTAACAATTCGTTAATTAAATTTGCTTTTTATCCAAAGAAAAAAAATAATAGTGTCTTTATATTACCTCAACTCTAGAATTAGCGGACTTGAGTCTAGAATTTCTAATTCATGAAATAGAGTCTAGAATTTCTAATTCATGATGCCTCAACTCTAACCACTAAACTAAGGTCTTCTCAGTAATTTTCACTTTGAATTCTCTATGGTTGAATGAGATTTTGCAATTGTTAATAGATTGAGGCATAATGGTTAGGGGTGATCAAAATTAATGTGAATTCGTGTGGTGGGTTTTTGTGTTTGTTTTTATTTTATTTCATTATATTTTAATTTAAATAGTGGTGATAGTGCACTGTTTTTTTTTTCCCTTTTTTGGTTTAAAGGAAAATTATTGTGGTAAATGTGCCTATCAACTAAAAAAAGGTCAAAAACTGTTGTGACTGAGAAAGAGTGAGTTGGTAGGAAAAATTGTTTTGAAAATAAAAAAAAAGGATATTTCAGAGAATTCAAAAGGATTTTATTTTTGATGATGTCAGCTTTTTTGGGTTTTCTATTGTTATCCAAACGGTGTAATTAGAAGAGGGGTAAATAGTTAATCAAACCAGAGGGTCTAGCTGAATCTGTGATACAGCTCATGGAAGGTATGTGAACTTATTACAAATGTAAAATAATTCCAATAAAAAAGGTAATACGTAAAACCAATTCTGATTTTTATTTGTTACATAGGCATTGGCATGCCCTTACAAATTGGTACTCTTTATTACTCTCCTCATATAAACTTCAATTATATATTGAAGTACTCAATACTTTTGAAGTAAATATTGCAGCAAATATTTAATTATTGAAGTAAATATTTCATATTTAATTATTGAGATAGATATTGTAAATAATCAATTTAAAAAATATTTTTATTATTTATAATATATTAATTAAATATTATACCGAATACTTGGTAGCGCTCAAGAAGCTCACGAGCCCACAACATACGTAGTCGAACTTTGAACATAAAGCTTACTTGAATAGTTCGAATTGGCCCCGGGGTTAGATCACCCGGTCTGCGGCTGGAAAACCACTCGCAAGGTCGTGGGATCGAACCTCACCTAACGCCTGGGTGCGGTTGGGGTGGCGCTGTACTCCAGGCGCAGGGGATTAGTCGGGCCGCCTTCGGGTCTTGACCCGGACACCCCTGTGTTGAAAAAAAAAAAAAAAAAGAAGTTCGAATTGGATTCAAGCCCGATCAATCGATGAGGAGCTGCTCGATTGCTCTGCTGTCTGCACACCGAGTCCGAGTAAAAAAGACTTGAACCTGCCTTATCCAAACTCCCCACCAGCGCTCGAAAGATGTCTGCAACCTCTGCTTTCCTCCACGTTCCGTTATCCCAATTCAAATCCCTCACCCTCTCCACCCCATTTCTCCACGGATCCACCCCAATTTCCCTTCTATCTAAACCCTCTTCTTCTCTCTCCAATGCCCGCACTTCACCCCTTACAGTTCTCCCCCCAATTCGAGCCATGAAATCAATGCAAGGCCGAGTTGTTTGTGCCACCAATGACAAAACCGTGGCCGTGGAAGTTACACGCCTCGCGCCGCATCCCAAGTACAAGAGGAGGGTCAGGAAGAAGAAGAAGTATCAGGCTCATGACCCTTTAAACCAATTCAAAGTTGGGGACTTTGTGCAGCTTGAAAAGGGCAGGCCCATTAGCAAGACTAAAACTTTTCTTGCTGTCCCTGTTGTTGGAAGGAATGCGCCCAAGGCGAAAGAGTTGGTCCCGCAGGAGCTTGGACTGAAGCTTGAGTCTGACCAGCAAAATCAGATTGAGGGCTCTGTTGGTACTTGAAAAATCTTAACTTGGATTGTGCCATTTTCTTTACTCATCCAGCTCTTGAGATGGATTTTTCTGTCTGATAGCTGATTTTTTTTAGTTTTATGTAATGTGATGGATTTTGGTTTTGGACTTATATATTTTGCCCGGTTATGGACTTTGGTTGTTCAGAGATTTTTGCCGTACAGTCATGATCATAGGTTGATTTACCTGAAACATATATGGTATCCTTAGAGAATAGAAGACGTAAAAAGGAACATTATCGACTACTTGCGGCTTCAGAGGGGCTCAGAATGCTGGTTTAGAGAACAAGGCTGGTCCTTTATGACTCCTAACCTTTAAATTGGTTAATAACTGACGCTTTTCTGAGAAAAAAAAAAATTATCCTTTTCAGGTTCAGCTAAATCCTTAAGGATTTCTGTTATCGTCGTCCTTTTTGTCCTTGTAGATGACATTTTTTCCCATAAGGTGATAATACTACTTTATGATGGAGCTAGTAGTCGTGCAATTCCCAATTTTGCCAAATTCATCGAAACCTGAAAAAGAAATATATAGAGAGAATTGGTGTATCTTTCTGCCATCTGCTATATCTAAGCCTCAAGTGAGTCAGGTGAGATTTGAGAGATTTATGCTTGTCCTCTCCTTCATTGGTATTAAAAAAATTTGTATTGTGATGAGTTGAAGAGTTTAAAGAGGGCAAGGTTTTGGAAGAGTATTGCGTTTGTAGGTATGAATTAACTATAGCAAGGGATCCTAAGTATGCCACTGGAGGACGTGACTCCATACTTGTTGATGTGTAGACACTTGTATGTTGGAATCGATTCTTCTCATTAGGAACTTTGGAAATCATGAATAATGAAAATGTAGGAAAGGCAGCTAAACTGGCATATTCCTTGTTATAAAACTCATGTGATAATCACTCTCCAGTATTTTTTGTAAGGAGCTGCAATGCCTTCTATTTCTTTTGTTGCTATGCATCTTAAAGCTATTTTCGTGGTTGCCTTTATATAAACTATTGAGTTACAACATGCTAGATTGCTACATGGATGCCTTGCTCGGTCGTGAGACAACTATTAAGCCCTTTTCTCTCCAGTGATTATGCACATTGGGTGAGACCAAATCAAATATCTTTGTCCGTTCTAGCCATTTTGTAATTAAGACTTCAGACAATTTCACTAATAGTAGGGAAGGAATATACTCTGAAAGATGTGCAAATAGGAATATCAGTGCATTCGTAAATATCACGCCTGGCCTAGACAGTTGGGCTCCCAAAGGAGAAAATATAATAGGACAGCACATACATAAAGGTCAGCACATCCAAATAGAAAAGAGAAAATTGAGCAACTAAAATGAACAAAATGCTTTCCACAGTTTCTATAACCAAAGGGAGTAATATGTTTTACAGTCAAGTAAAACCTATTCATTTAACCAGGATAATCATCAATCTTCACAGTTCAAGCTTGCCTTGATCTTCTGTAATGTACATGATATTAAGGTGTTAACTGATTCTAGAGATTCTACCGAAGGTTTTGCTGTTGGAGAGTTACTAGTTAGGATTTGAAAAGCAATAGTAAGTAGGGATCCTCCTTCCGAACTCTTCTCTTCCAGCCTAGATGTGATAACCAGAGGCCTTGATTCCACTCCATCCAAAAGAATTGAGAAACCTGAAGGTAGTACAGCAATATTGCTGGAGTCACAGCCCGTCATAACTGATTGCATGCTACTAATATCCACTGGGGCATAGACCACCATTGACTCGTAGGCATTTGTGCAGCTATCTTGGAGCACCCACATGCTGTTGTCTTTGGTTTTTATTGTCTGAAACAGGGTTGAAACACAACATAGTTTGATGTTTTTAGTGCCCTTATTCTTAAAAGGACATTAGGAAAGTAGAGGGGTTGGGGATGCGAGGAGGAAAGATGTGGTGATACAAAATCTCCTCATCTTGGGACAGATGACTCACTTGGATGGTGACGGCATTCCCTCGATCCTGCCCTTTGGCCAAGTTTGCAATGGATTGTGCTGGAGCTCCATTTAACATCATGTCCCACTGCAACATATGCAGCGAAATGAGTCAACCATCTTGACTTGATTTAGTTTAGAACCATAGAAGTTTATTTTGATGTCTTGAACAAGGAGTGCCAAACCTCATTGCGACGGGATTCATCTCTTAGGAAGTCAAATAAGTCATGGTGAGATACTGGTAGCCACACGGAGGAAACTGCACATAGAATTACCCCAAGAGGTTCTCCAGGGTCATTCAAGTTTTTCCTTGAAGCCACCCTAATGTCATCTCCACTTTTACTAGTGATTTTGCTCCATGTATTATAGCTTGATGCACCTGGTGCACGACAAAAGCTTACTGTCATTCTGTGCGCCAATTTCAGTATGCTTTTCCTCCCAGCGAGTGTGGCAACTCCTAGTTTAGTAATTCAGAAATTTCAGGTTAACATTCATATAGCCCTAAATCATGTAAAGAACTCGAATAGAGGCATTAGCGATTCTGAAGTACCACTGGAATCTTTGGTAGGAACATTTGTTGCCATAAAGAACGCAAGCCTTTCACATTGTAGCTGCAATGTTGTCATCCAATGCCTTGCACCAAAAGCTAGACCACTATTTACTACTGCGCGGTACAAGGAGTGAACTGTACTTTTCTGACATTCCAGATGCTCTACCCAAGTCACCTGAGAAACCATGTAAAACAGATCCACCGGAACTATAATTGAAGTCTAATTAATTTTTAGATGATTGAGCAAAATGAGTCCAGTATCAGATTCAGAAACTTGATTAAGGAAGATTACCTTGCAGTGGCCATTTGATTTATCCTCAATGATGCAGCCAGATGGACGTTTTCTGCATTTTGTTAGGGATGCATCAACGCTGTCTTCCACTTTGTCAATCGAGACATCAACAATTGCCCATTGATCCGCACTTATTTGTTTGGAATATCGGACAAAATAGACTTCTCTTGTGGGCACCATTGGAGTGAGCATTTGCAGCTCCGCAAACATCTGCAGTGGCCAGTAGGGTAAAACTACTGTTTAGGATCTTTCTTGGGCCCAGTAAGGAAGCTTTCTTATGCAAAATTTTGGAACTTACCTCCATATTCACATGGATGGATGCAAGTCAGACACACAATCCCACTACTTCGGTCCTATTCTCAGTTAAGTTGATACCATGTTTCAGAGTAAGTTTACCGTCGAGGTGCAAAGTTTAGGAATGACCATGCACAAACCATGCGGCAGCAAAGTGAACTGTTCAACGATTTCAAAGTTGACATCGACGGTCAACTGTTTCAACTCTTTGATTACGATTTAGAATTTGGGATCTGCACTTCTTATCAAAAGATATGGATTTGACATTGCTCCTGGTTCAGTTATGCTATGAGTTTTCCTTTTCTTCAGCAGTGGACCAAGGGTAATGAAATTTTGGGAGCACGTAATTTCTCTAGAGCGTGACTATCTAGTTGATGAGAATAATAAGAAATCGAATGAAATTATTGGTAATGGAAATAATTTACGTCCAGTCATCAATTGATTCGTGAAATATCATGACTTGACGTGACCAGACAGGCTCGTTCTTTTTTTATGAAAAGAAAATACGATGTAAATCAATTTGATTAGAGGAAACTCCTCAACTAGATCCATCCTTCTAATGATTATCAACCAAAATTTACGTGGAAAATACAGATGAAAAAGGTGCTTACCAGCTGAACTAGTCCGTCTCTGTTAGCCCCTTCACCCATGCATACAACATCAACCGTAGCTGCCTTTGAAACCCGGCCGGGGAACATTTCTTTCCACTGATTCTGCAAGACAAAAATACACAAAATACTGCTAGTAAAAAACCATCTCTTGACAGCCATAATTGCGAGTGCAAATGGAGATCAATCATGCAATTTGGAATTTGGAGAGGGGCAAAAACATCCTCAGAGTTTACCACATCCATGAAGCATTGAACAAGCCGAGGGAGCTCAACAAACACAATTCCAGTCTCCCTCGAGGCCTCAATAGGTCTCTTAGGCCCCGCGTTATTTGCATTCTCAAAGGGAAATTTTTTCATGTATTCGTCATAGTTAAGAATCTCCCTTCCACTTTCTAAACTTCGGATCCATAGAGGTTGTCCTAAAGTAGCCATTTGTTTAAGCTCTTCCAATGCTTGATTGACAATTTCCATTATTCGCGACTTTTCCAGCCCGAATATGCCACTGTAAAACTCTAAGCAACTCCTGTTCTCAAATTCGTTTCCTGCTGAGCAAGATGAATTGCTCGGTGATGTTCCAGGGGTGTATCTCCCAAGAGCTGCTCTAAGTTTTTCCACCTGCAGCAAGTCTTCCGTTAAAAAAAAAAAATTAAAAAAAAAGGATAATTAGGAAATTTTGCATCTTGTGTAATTCTTTATTTTTTAGTGACTAAGGAAAAATAAATACGTTAAAGATTTCTGGGGACCTCGGCTTTAAGTCTAGCATTTTCAATTCGTAGCTGTTGTTCGTCGGAGGCTGTAGAAGGACCCTTGGCGGATGTAGCAAAACCGCAGCTAGGACAAGAAGCTTTTTGAATGGTCTCCCTTAATGCTTTATTCTCGTCGCGAAGCTTTTCCAGTTCCGTTTTCAACAAGCCATTTTCATGACGTTCCTGAATAGCCTGCATTAGCCATCCATATTGCTACATCTGTTATATATAGGACCATGATCCCTCAGATAAGAACACAGTTAAAATCAATAAACCTGTTCAAGATCAAGAACTAATAAATCATCCAACTAGCAGGAACACATCATAATCAGTTTTCTCGTTCCTTTATAGGAAACAAATATTTATAATGTGCTAAAAGTGCATGCATACCTTGATTTGGGTTCGACGATTTTGAAACCAAAATTTGACTTGCCTAGGATGAAGGCCTAATTGCTTGCTAAGCTGTTGCCTTTGCTTCTCATCTGGGTGGGGCGACTCCTTGAACAAACTGCCCATTGAAGCATACGTGTAAAGGGATACAGCATTAATTATTCATGGACAATAAAAATAATAATGACTGCTAGAAAAAGTCCAATATCATATGGGGACATGCATGCTCAACATTAATGGCGGAAAAATGTATGTATAGTACTGATACGCGACAGAGAAGCAGAATATACAGGCCCAACTAGATACACGTACGTTACGGACACCAAAAAAATAAAAAGGGATTTTTACTTACGTGCATGAGAAATGCACTTTTTATAATTTATTCTTTTACTACTGAATTAACAAATAGTATGTGATTGGAAAGGAGACCTTAAGCCGCTTATAATTAAATAACAGCATGCTAAGATCGACAAAATTTATTCTGACATCTGACCCCGACTTTTCATCTTTACACTAGTAATCTTCTTGTTTTTTTGACAGCTATTCAAGTCTTAGAAGAAGCTTACCTTACATGTGTATTTATTAATTAGCCCAAGAAGTGAACCAAATTTTCAGCAAGCATCAATTTTGTAAAGTTTCTGGTCACCGAATCCTAGTAATTAACCGAGATAAATATATGTTGCATCAAATTAAGTTAAAAGGTAGTCTACAAATTTCTTACTTAATTAGAAATATAAGGTTTTAGTTGACGCAGTGGAATAATAATCATAAGAATGTGTTATTGTATGTATTGTACGCTAGTACAAACAGTCTAGAAAGAAGAAAGAAGGAACATACGCCTCCATTTCTCTAATTTGTTCAGCGGTGTGTCTGTGATATTTCTTTCTCTTCTTTTTCTTGTTGTTTTGGTCATCCTCACCACCGTCATCTTGCTCTCCTTCGCCTTCATAATCATCCATATCATCCGACCTCGACCTCAAGGGTCCAGAATTTTCACTACTGATTTCCACTGTCTCTTCTCTCCTGCCTCCTCCTGCTGCTGCTGCTCCGCCGCCGCCACTTCCTTCATCTCCCTCCTCCACTTCCAAGTTGGCGGCCGCCGCACCACGACGAAAAATCCCAGCCTAGAAGAACCGCAAAAGAAAAAGGGGGGGGGGGGGGGGGAAAGCAAAAACCATAAAAGCTTGGTTAGAAAAGTTTTGTCTTTCCGCTGTCCTTAAAGGCTTAAAGTAAGTGCAAAGGATAACAATTAATTATTAAAGAAATGGTAGAGAAAAATAGTACAAGGCTAAGGGAGAGAGCAGGAGACGGGAAAAAATCTTTGGTTTGAGAAGTTGGAGGAGGATTCGACATGTCCAAAACGCCCATGTCACTCGTGGGCTTCTTCTGGGGTTGATTGAAGGGGCTTCTCTATGGTGGAAGCTTTCAAATATTCACAATGAGATTTTGTTTTCTGGGCTAGTGTGTGTTATCTGTGTGTGACACCCGGACATGGGAAGAAAAGAGGGCTGGGAAGGGGGTGGGGTCTGCTTGATTTAAGGATATAAGACAAACGAGACTATAAAGACACAGTTAATTTGTGAGAGGGAGGGAAAACAATAAAGATCGTTGAGACAGGCGGTGGGGCTGGCAGAGGTTGACCGTTAGATATGGTAGCGAGAATCCTTTCCATACTCAACTAACTTTTTCTTTTCCCTAGTTAACTACCCAACTTTTACTGTCATAGTAAAATTTTTCACCGGCAAATGTAGATCGAAACTGTTCTTGTCCACTTGAATGGTTGAATAGCCCAGTGTTCTAGCTTTTTGGTGGATGACATTTGTCTACCTGTTGAATGTTCCATGGAGGTCTAATCCAACGTAGGAGTAATTCAGCTCACTGTCTGGGTCTCTACTATTTCTTGGAATGGCGTCCAAGACCAGAGGCTAGATAATCGACGGAGACCAGAATGATTAATTACAAAGAAATCGGGCGGCCACATATTGATAGGTTTTTGCCATTACACTGTAACTTGGATATATTCTGCATGCAAATGAATGAATTTCAAGATCTTGATGTTTGTTTGGCCTTCAATGATCCTCCCGTTTGATGGACAAACGAAGCTCAGTGTTTCAAGTGAACCACACGGATATTAATTATTATAGCATGTACGCAGTGCTTTTGCTTGTTATATAGTTTGCCAAAGAAAATTTGTTGATTTATCGTTGGGACGAAATTTTCAACATTATCAGGCCTGAAGTATGAAATTCAAGATTATCCGCTTTGGCAGATTGAGCAAAGGCCAAATCCGGATCAATAATAAGTTTCCACACAAAATGAGAATGAGAAAATTGTGCGTAGGACCTCTTTTTTGGCATTTTACTGTAAATATGATGCGGCATGTTACTAGTGGTTCAAGATGCCAGTAGTGTGAATTGGAATATTGAATTTCTATTTTGAAACTTATTAGTTAGTAGCATCTTGTTGAGTGAATAAAACTCAGAAAAATCTCTCATGCACATGAATTTCGATAAAGAAAAACCTCTCATATCAACCCGTAAATCCCAATAAAAAAAAAATTAAAGATAGATGTCTGTGCAGGTAGTCCATGAGTCAAACGTATTTATTCATAGGATAGTATCTCACTTAAGAGCAGGTACAGAAAATTTGGGTTTGTACATTCTTGATTTAGTCATTTCATTATATACATACATGTTGGGGCTTTCCTTCTCGATTAGGAAAATAGGGCTAAGCTGAGGCGTAGGACCTCTTTTTTGGCATTTTATTTGCTCGATCTTTGATAATGTGCGAATCTACTTTACTACTTGACTATATCTAATGAATTCATCTAAAACTACACGTTGCCTTGTATTATTATTTAAATGATCTCTTGTTGTCTAAAAAACGCAACCTAATTGGTACGAATAATAGTCGAATGATCATGAGATTCTTGATTCGACTCTCGACCCTCCTTCCACCCTTAGGTCTTGGTTTGACTCTCAAAATCTTCCCTTTCTTTTTAACTTAATAAGATTTGGAGTCTCTTCTTGAACTATTAAGAAAAATAATTTCTTGTTTTTTGTTTTCCACCTTTAGAAACATATGGCTTCAATATACAACATATCACTTGAATAAAAATCTATCTTGAACTTTAATACTTTTCTTGCATTACTGGAAAGGTAATCATGGGTAGATAATCTAGTCAAAGTGGGAGGTGATAAATGATAACTGACCGAATTAGGGAAGCAAACTATTGTGCAGATTTCATGAGCAAATTAGGAGCTTCTCAAGATGAAGAGTTCTTTTCAGTTTTGCGATCCTCCTGCTGCTGTGCTGATGGGAAATTTGTGTAGATGATGTTAGTAGTGTTAGAAGAGTTCAAATTTCTCAGATTATTGTATCAGAACCAAGCTAGTCATTTATGTATCCTCCTTTCTGTTTCCTACCAAATTATTATAACCAAAAAAAAAAAAAAAAGGAACACTTCAAGTGTTGTGACCGTGTGAACTTAGTGGTATCTTTTATATCATTTAAAGACTTTTAAGTAATCAAAGCCATTATGGATTTGCCTCCAAACTCCACATTGACAAGTATATATTTGTGGATGTTGCTAAAGTCATTTCTTAATCAAGTAAATCACAGACTTTGGGGAGGATACCAAATAATGGTTAGAGAGAACACTGTCCTTCGCACTAATGATTGCCATTTCTATGTCCTCAACGAATTATACTAATGAATAAGAACCATGATTAGAATATCATTCTGGCATAGAAAATATAAAAAGTTTTGGATATTTTCAAAAATTGGTTCAACTGGTTAAAACTTAAAACTCACGCTTCCTTAAACAGAGAGCTTGGGCTCTGCAATCGCCTCTCATTCATTTAAGGACTCGTTTGGGCTAAACTCTTGATCTCTCATTTTCAAACAAAATATGTACCGTATTAATAATTATCTTTTTCTTGAAGCAGAGTGTCGTGTCCTTTATAAAGTGTCGGACTCATTCACTAGTGGATAAATTCCACTTTGCAACCTTCGACTATACACGAATTTTCACCTGTGTTCCTATACTTTAAAATAGGACACTTTAATTCCTAAAATATAAAATTTATCACACGTAAATAAAATCGTTAAGGGAAGTGAGACAGATTTTATAATTAAGTGGAATAAATTTTATAATTTAGAGATTGAGTGGAAAAGATTTTATAGTTTAGGAACTAAAGTAAGATTTTAAACTTTAGCAACTAAAGTGTGACGCATGATATACTTTAATGATTAGTGTGTCTCATTTTAAAGTTTAAAGTTTAGTAACCAAAATGGAAATTCAGATATAGTGAAAGGTGCAAGATGTAATTAAGTCTCATTCGGTTGAATGCTTAATACGAAGTTCGCTAGCTGGGATTGATGAAAGAAAATGGTTTTTATTTTTGACTCATTATTGAACAAATGTTCATGCAACGTGAGGCAAAATTAAAACAATGGGTTTTTCTTCTTTCCTTTTAAGGTAAGAGCTTGTTTATGGGTGTCCTAAGGGCATATGTTAATGAATGTGTTATTTTTAAGAAAGGTAAAGACAAATAAAAATGTCATTAAATCTAAACGATATAACAAATGTGTGTACAATTATTGACTAATTGTACGTTTCAACGAGTGCCCTCGAAGCAACGTTGGACAAATATACACACACATATATATATATATATAACGTATAGCTGTACTAGCACCTTGTCAGCTAGTACCCAAAACTTGTTAACTGAATCTATATGAGTAGAATCTTAAAATAGCAGCTAGAGACCGCAGGCCATATGCCAAGAATAGAGTCCCTTTAAGCCATCAAGCATCTCAGACTCAGAACTGCGCTCGTTGAACTTGTGGGTGAAACATGTATTGTTGGACGCTGACGAATTCATATATACAAGAACAGCCCAACGAACAAGAGATATTAGTACTTTTTTCTTCTTGGAAAAATTAGGTATTGAATACTCTTTTGTTGGCACATAATGATAAAGTCTGGCAAAAAAGAAGCACGTAAATTCATCTATTAGACATACAGGGGACATATAGACATGGTCTGATGCTTCCTTTTATGTCTTTGATAAATATAGACCCATCCGGATGTGAGGACTATGTTAGTTGGTGATCTACAAGAATTTCTATAAGCGATTTATGTTCCGAAGGCATGTCCTGATGGGTGATGGTGAGCAGAGCCAAATCTATACAAACTTTTTTCCACCAAAATATATATATATATATATATATATATAGATGTGGTCTCTTTCCTAGCTATAGCTATCGAGGCTTGAGCATTAGCAAGGATTTTGAAGCTAATCTTGTGTTATCTTTAGCATGCTGAAAATCTTCAATTACACGTATGTAAAAAAGCAAAAATAAAGTTGCATACTTTTATCCCCTCTGAACCCGTAACATAATTTTGGTGGTTATTTCACAATTCCTATGTCACTAATTGTGAAATGAAATTTCACCATGCCGACAATGCATCATATCTTCTCTCCCTTTCTGTCAGTTTAAGTGCTTCTTGAACCTTAAGTTTGGGTCCTTCTCCAAAAAAAAAAAAAAAAAAACTTAAGTTTGGGCACCTGCATGGATTGGTGGTAGTTAGGAATGTGTGACAGACTTGACTTGGTGAACAATCCATCTAATAATACAGAATGGGTTGTTCGTTTTGCATTTCTTTAATTGCTGCAATAGCCATCTATATAATTACTCGAACCAAACGTGACATGGCGCTGGAGATGTTTTGTCATATCCATCTTCATACCAAATTTGACCCCCAGAAAAAAAAAAAGAAAAGAAGTCAAGGTCTGTTGTAGGCTTGAAATATACTCCAAGAATTAATTTATACGTTGACAAATCTTGATCATTAAACATTCTGGAAACACTAAACATATTATTGAAGACCACACACAGTTCACGTCACCAAAAATGAATTATACAGTCATATACAGTTTTGGAGGTCCCATCAACAAAAGCTCCGAAAGCAAATAGTAAATGCTAAAAACATTGAAAATATGCATTGCGGAGTCGGAAAGAAAAGCATGAAAATGTCGGAATGATTAAGGATAGGGGGTGATTTATACCGACAGCATTAGAATGGAAAAGACCAGAAAGGCTAAAAAGAAAGAAAAAAAAAAAAAGAAAGAAGAACGAACCAGAAAGAGTACTTCAAAAGTGGAAATTAAGGAGATCTACTGTTTAGGAAAAGGTTCAAACACTAAAATTAGTGGTGCTCTGTACCTGGACAGTGTCCGCATGAAATTAAGGTCTTTTGTAGTGATAATGAGCTAAAGTTGAGTGGCAAATGGTGAGTTGCTTTAGCAAGAAAAAAAAAGAAAAGAAAAAGTTTTCCCATTGACCAAGGAAAGAGGAAAAGA